TGTTTGGTAGCTCTTTTTCAAAATTTCACACAGCTAGTCACCTCAGATGCTTTCTAATATTTATATTCCTCCAAACATCTGGGAGCAGTATTATGCTAAGCTTTAATTTAATAGTGGTCCACATGCTTAGTACATTACATTAAATGCTGTATTTATTCATATGTGCTCATACACTCATCCGTCCATTGGTTGAATTTCAATTAACCAATCCATCATCTATTCAGTTGCTCATTCATCCAGATGTTCATGCACTTAACTAATGAATCCACATATTCACAAAACAGTTTCCTCTATCCAAATAAACCTCTACATTTTATCTATACCTTTTACTCATCCATAATTTGTTTGTTCATTTATCCATCAGCTATCAGTTTATGAATTTATCTTTCCTTTCAAATATCTGCTCAGCCTTTTCTACATATAATCCTCACTGCCTTGATTTCATTTACTATGCTATCACAATATTCCTCCAATCCATTCACTTGACTCACTGCAGCAATTTTTCTTCATTTTCTATAGTTTTACAATAAAAACATGTCTCTATAGTCTCTTCCCTCAAACTAAATCTTTGTCACACCCTTCAACAACCTTCCTATTTATCCCTTTAGTTAAATTTTCAGTTATTAGTTCAACCATCTACACATCCATCTTGGTTCTTTAATTTTCTTTCCTTGTCCATCCATTTATCTATTCAAGCCTCCCCCCCCGCATCTCCGTAGCTACATTATCTTTAATCCTTGTATCTCTTCCCTCCATTCATTTATTCAGAGTTTTCCCATTTGTCTTTTCATCCATGAACCCATCCATCCATCCACTCAACTATCCATTCATCCATCATCCATCCATCTGCCCACTAAACCAACTTTCTATTTATCCATCCATCCACTCCACCATCCATCCTTCATCTATCCATTCAGCTATCCATCCATCCATCCCATGTTCTTGTCAGGATAGGAAACTTAAACAGCATGGGATAGAGAAAGACTCAATATAGACTTTTCTATCAAGAGTAATGTTTCTTTCTGTGGGAGTTATGTACAGACATAGATATTTTACCTCTGGTTTTGTTATTTGGGTGTTGGAAGGAAAGACTCTATATCCTTAAGGAGGTCAGCCATATGTGCATGAACCAGGTCAAAAATAGGGCTACAGAACAAGAGATTGTCCACATATTGAAGGATGACACTGGGAGATACCATGAAGAGAAATGGGATCCTTTGCTCATGCTTGTCCAAAAAGAAAAGGGCTGCCCTGAAACCCCTGAGGGAGGACTGTCCAGGTCAGCTGTTGTGCCCTAGAGGTGTCAGGATCCACACAGGTAAAAGCAAAAGGCCCTGACAGTCAGGGTGTATGCAGATTGTAAAAATTGCATCTTTTAGATAGAGTACTGAGAAGTGGGTGGTGCCAGTAGGTATTTGTGCAGGGAGGATGTATTGGTTGAGCATAATAGGATGAATAGGAAGGACTGTAGCATTAATAATATGATGGCTCCAAACCAGGCAATAGATTCTATTGGATTTAATTACTGGTAAAATAGTCATGTTAGTAGGTCTGAGAAGTTGTTTAAGAAGGTGGAGGATGATAGGTTTTAACCCTTTCCCGTGTCAAAGATAAATGGGTATAAGGGTGTGTTGGGGAAATGGGTAGGATCCTTAAGTTTAATGAGGACAGGAGTGTGGTGCTGAGCAATAGTAGTTGTGATAATGTCTCAGATGAAAGGATTAAAAAGATCTGGAGGGAGTGGGAAAGGGTTCTGTTGGGAGGCTATGAGCAGAGATTCGTCTAAGGACAAAAGTAAAATAGGTGTTGGCTGTCTTGGAATATGGAATAAGAGGGAGACTTGGAATTTAGAAAGTAGGTCTCTCCTTAGAAGGGGTGTGGGACAGCGGGGTAAGATTAGGAAGGAATGTGAAAAAGGAAAGTTGTCTATTCTGCATGGTACCAGGCCAGTAGTTGCAGGGCAAGTACCTACCATTGAGACCTGGGAGGGAAAAGATGGGCCAGAATATTCAGGTAATACCAAATAATTGGCTCCTGTATCCAAAAGAAAGGATACAAGTTTACCTGCAACCTGAAAAGATACCCTGGGCTCCTCCATTGTGATGTTTGTGGAGGCCAGTGGCCCTGGGGACTATCAGTCTTCTGTGGCCAAGCAGAGTATCTCGGATAAGTTGGGCTCTTCCCTGTGTGGGTGGGGAGTGGGAGGGTCTGGCCCACTTCATAGAGATGAGGAAGGCAGTCAACTCCCCAGTGTCCTAGTTGTCCACACATTGGGCAGGGTCCAGATGGTGGTCATGGAATAGGGCAAGCTCTTGCCCAGTGGCCTTCCTTGCTCACTTGAAGCATGGTCTGGGTGGCATGCCTTGGGTGACTGTTCTTTGAGAAGCATGTATGGCAGTAGCCAGGAGCTGGTGATTTTCCCTATCATGGACAGCCTTATTGGCTTTTTCCTGTTCTTCCCAGGTATAGAAAACCTTAAAATCCATGCTCACCAGATCTCATTGGGGGTATTAAGGGCCATCCTCAGCCTTAAAAAATTTTTTTTTTGCAATATTGGGAGTTGATTGGGAGATAAAATGGGCATTAAGAACAACCATACCTTCCTTTGACTCTTGTCCAGCTTAGTATAGTGCTGGAGTGCCACTATAATGCGATCAAGAAATTTGGCTAGGTTTTCAGTGGGTCTTTGGATAACCTCCCCTACTTTAGCAAAGTTGACTTCATGGAAGGCTGCCTTCAGCCACCAGGTAAGTTACAATTCTTTCCTGTTTCCTTTTCCAGGAGCATTCTTTTGATAACTCCAATTGGGCTCTTCCCTGGCTACAGCTGCCGCCCATACCAGGAAGGTATTCTCTAGGCAGTGAGTGTCCTCAGTGTGTGCCTGGGCTACAGCCCACACCATTTCCTTTTCCTTGGGGGTAAGGGTAGAGGATAAGATTGTAAACAAGTCATGCCAAGTAAGTTCATAGGCCTAAATGAGTTATTTGAATTCTTGGATATAATTATTAGGGAGATGACCCCAGTGGCTTCTTGATCTGGGAGACAGCAGAGAAGGGGGCATGAACAAGAATAAATACCTCTGTCCCTGCCATTTCCTGCAGAGAATATATGAAAGCTGGTAAAGATTATGAATCACTAGTACAGGATAGAGTGTGAACCATGGGAAATGAGTGAAAAGGAGATGAAGGGGGAGAAAGCACCGAAGGTTTGACAAGGGGAGGAGGAGCAGAATCCTCAATATTGAATAGGAAATCAGGCACCTCGGGTTCAGGAAGAGGCACCAGGCTCTTAGGCAATTTGGCAGTCAGGTGATGCAGCAGGGATAGACTGCCCACATGCCAGGAGGATAAGGGAAAGTTGGGCAGAGAGAAGAACAAACACAGAGTGCAAAGAAAGCCTGAATGTATAGAACCTCTGACCCTTTACCATTGCAATGGCAGAAACTGTCCAAATCTCTGAGAGTATTATAATCAAAAGTCCCATTTTGGGTCCATTGAGACTGATTGTCCAGCCTATGCTATGGCCAGACTTGATTGCAATAAAAGATAAGGTGTTTTGGCTTTAGGGAATACTTGATTAGAGAATATCTAAAGAGTGAAGGAGACATCTTAAGGAAATATCCCAGCTCAGGAGAGATTGATGGGACCCCACTGGAATAAGAAACATGAGGAAGAAGTCTGGTGAGGACATGGAGGAGGGGGAGTACATAGGATGTAGAGAGGTAGAGTTCATCAGGATGTAGAGGGGAGGAGTTGGTAAGTCAAATTCTTGATTCAGGCATCCTAAAACAAGAAGAGACTGGCATAGGGGATCCCTCCGGTGTGGTACTATGTCAAAAAAGACAGCAGACCAACAGAGGGGCTATAGACAGAAGTCACTTACCACAAACAAACATAGGTTCCATGGTTTCCCTTATTTGCAATAACTAGTATATGTCTAGGATAATCTTATCAGTCAAGCAGAAAAGGTCAAAAGCTATGTACATATGACCATATAAGATGGTGCTAAGCGAAATGAACCCCAAGATAGGGACACAAGAGGTTTTTACTTTGCTGCTGTTGTTTTTAATGTATTACGTGATTTTTTTTTCTTTCTTTTGTATGTTCTTCTCCCGCAATATAATCCTTGTCACTGTATTTTATTCCGGTGCCCTACATCTTGTATATACATTTTTCTAATTTGGGGAGGGGAAGGGAAATAACAAAATGCTGTAACAAGGATACAAGTTGACCATTGTACCAACGAGATGAATGAGACACTATGTTGAGAATGAGTTTTTCAACTTGGAGTTGGGGGGAGGAGTTGGAGTGGTGAAGAGGGAAGGGATGGTAGGGGAAGAACAAAGGAGGGAGGGGTAACAATGCTTGATAGGAAATGTACTCATTACCTTACTCATGTAACCATAACCCTTCTGTACAGTAGGTTCTGGGTTGGAAAATTTTAGGAAGTTCCCTCGGGGAAGGGTAGTCAGTGGACCAAACCACGGGAGCAACACTGAGTTATGAGAATGAATGATTCCCATCATTTGAGACCCTGAAGGGATGGATATAAAAGGTTAAGGAATGTTGTAGTCTTTTTGGGCTACTTCCTGCTGACATAGAGGCATCAAGGGCTCACTGTGCTGGGGTGTTCAGGGTCCAGGTCTGTGCTGGGCAGGATGATGTTGTAAGCAAAGCTCCTAGCTATCTGTACTAATAGGTTGGCCTTAACTTGCTCCGGTGGTGGCCTGGGTAAGAGCAAATATCCTTTAGACAGAAACTTTTGAAAAATGTCAAGAAAATAGTGTCCAAGAAGGAGGAGTAAGAGGACGAGTGTTAAAGGTCCTAACGGGGAGGTGAGCCAAGGGGACCATTGTGAGAGAAAATCCCATCAAGATGTTCATTGGAGTGATTTCTATTATCTGTTGAGAAGTTCCTCCAATTGAGTTAGGGCTTCTTGCACTACTCCCCATTCATTAGTAGAATGACCTCAGGGTCAAGAAAATCCATAGAGGCATGGGCAAAGGTGACAAACAGTTTTTATTTGGCTGGTTCTGACTGCCTTGTCCTGGGACCAAGAGCAGCCCCAACTTCCAGTAGGGCAGCATTATATAAATCAGAACCAAATGTATATGGCAGTTTACAGAAGCTCAAAGATTATTCTTCAGCTGTGGTCAGATTCATGCAGACAGTAATCTGGAGGCCAGAGATTCAGGATTGAAATTGGGGATTATCAAAGAATGAAAAAAAAGCTGGGTTATTACATTCCCCACTAGTTTTTATGTGCATATCAAATCATAGATATGCAGAATCACCCTCAGATGAATACATCAATGCACCAATCCTAACCCTATTCTTTGATTTATGTAACCAGATTATCTCAGAACTGCCTCAGAATGATGAACTGTGACTCTACCCAGCAGGTTATAGGAACAGGACAATTTCCTAGATTTTAACACAGTCAGATTCATATACATCTAGTTGCCTATCTTAGCTGTCCAATGGACATCTCAGCTATTACAGGTACTAACAAAATTCTTGGTTTTTACCAATGAAATGCACTTAACTTTTCCAATCTCCTCATTTCAGCCCATTATACATACATTTACTCAGACCAAAAACCTACAAGTGATTAATTTTTCTTTTCTTCCTTCCATCTATAAGAGAAATCTACTGGTATTATTCCTCAACTCCAACCACTGCTCTTCATGTAACCAAAGCTACAACTGTCACATCTTTCTAAACTTCTCTAAAACTCTTCACTTTTTAAGAGCAGCTAGAAGATCTACTCAAAGCCAAAATAGTGAAGAACTTACAGCCATTGTAGGAAGCTGCCTTGTAGGAAACACAAGATGATACGGTCTCCTCCAGATGACTGTCTTTGAACTTTCTCCAAACAGACCTCCAGGTTGAAGAGATGGGCTGGATCTGAACTGGACTGTGGTAGTGTTTCTCAGCAGCTTAGATGGATTGTCACACCTCCTACTGGGTTACTGGCCAATTTCTATATAGACTGGTTAAGGATACATTACATAGGCTTAGTAGGCTGAGTCCCCACTGGTTTTTAAGACAATTTTAGGCAGTAGCCGCTGAATAATATACCAAGGTAACAATTAACCAGATATTTTTCCACACTTGCACACTTGTTACTACTGTCTTTCGTGCCTCTTCCTTTAATCTTATCCTGCCTTATTTTCCAAAAAAAAAAAAAGATTCCAATCTCTTGATCTTAAAGGGATTGATGGGCAAAGATCCATTTTTTTGTAACTTCTTCGAGCTGACTCAGGGGTGCTGACCCTACTTAGCTCAGAACCTATACCTTAGCCTATTTTTACTGAGGGTTGCCAGGATCAGCTATCATTAAATTACCTGTGCAAGAGAGATCTCAATAGAGGCACAATCCCAGGTCCACAAACTTCTTCCTAACAAATACATTCAACTGGCAAGTTCCTGACCAATTAGAAGTAGACAGACATGGGCATTAGAAAGACATGCTTCCTATGAAAAGTCTTCCAGGCTCTGATTTTTTTTTTTTTGAAAGCCCAAACAAGTGACTCCAGTGTCTGACACCATCTCTGCCATCTGAGCAGTGGCTTTTAACTGCCTCTGGATGCTCCATTATTGCTAGGGTCCCAGGAGTATCTTCTCTACTCTGGGATAAAAAGCCCCACTGGTATTTCCCTTGGTCAGTTGCTGTGCTTGAACTCAGGGCCTGAGTGCTGTCCCTCAGCTCTCCAGCTCAAGGCTAGTGCTCTACCAACTTTGAGCTCCAGCACCTCTTCCTTCCAGCGCTTTGCCCTGACCCGTCTCACAAGGAGCTTTTTCTACACAGACTGGCTTTGCACCACCGTTCTCAGATCAATGAATCTCTTACAAAAAGGCAACTCTACTCGAATTAAAAGCAGCAAGGCAGTCATTAAGTAAGCATGGTCTTACCTGGAAGTTATTAAGGACCAAAGTTACATCTGACAAACTTGTAAAAATCATCTGGCTTCGGTGGGCCTGCATGCAATTGTTACAACGAACCTGAAAAGCAAACTGGAATAGCAGTTAAACAATCATTTTGGTAGTCCTAATTTTTCCTTTCTCCACCAAACAGGACAATTTTACTGTTAAATTCCCTTTGTCTAGGAAGGCAGTCACTCCCTTCTACTTCCCAAATGTTTATACAGGGGATGCAAATTTTCCCTTCTCCTAAAGCCATTTTAAATGACCTTTTGAAACACTAGGTCAAACCTATTACCTTTTCCCAGCCTGATTAAAACAGCCACTTTTTACTGCAGTCTGGGTTTCTACCTAGAAAACCTCTGAACTCAAAATGAGTTTTTCCTTAATGCAAGAATTACAAGCACCAGCACTTTCCCATGCATGCAGAACATCTTTCTGCACTTTCTAAAATATTACTAATTACAAAATGGCATTGAAACCAAATTCACACAGATAAACATTTTAAACCCTCCTTTATATCTCAAGGAGTAGTTTTAGAAATATCAATCACAATACTCATTTCCAGTGTCCATCAGCAGGGAAAAGAGACAGGACCAAGAGAAAACAAAAATCAACACATCCTACAGAATGTGCATATACCCATCCTACTCCTTTGTACCAGCTTGCCCTCTTTTTGCATACAGGGACTCCCCACTAGGGCCTGTCCAACCATGCATGGACTGGCTGAGCTGCACTTTTGCCAGTTGACCTCTTACCCTCAAAGATTGGCCCTCTGGCCTTTTTTCCTGTCCTTTTTACTGAGAAATCCAAGCAGTTTTAGATAGACAGAATAGACAAAGTCTTTGGCAATAATAAACAAACTTTTATATTTAAATTTCTAATACTTCTCCCCTCCTTATTCCCCATTTAGCAGTAAGAAAATCAATCCCAAGTTCCCAATGCCTCTTTGCTAGGCCAGATAACTTGATTGAACAGCCTTATGCATTAAAATACCAGATTTTCTTAATTTGCAAATTAGAGAATCTTTAGATCTTTTAAATACCCAAACCTGATGATATTTTTGGAGCTTAAACTCACCCATATATTTTTCTGTGGTCTAAGTATAAAACCACCCAATATTTTCCATTTTTACAGCATGCTGATAGTTTTTATCTTGAACATGTTCACATTCATATACGTATTCATACAAACAGTTGTTCACAAAAAATCTTAAAGCACACAAAAGATCTTAAAGTGCACGAAAATGACTAAGACAAAACTTTTTAATAACGAACTTTAGTTGGACTTCATTTCTCCAAGTATTAGAATAACAATGAACTTTAGCTGGGCCACCTTCCTCAAGAACCTGCTTATTTAACAAGGCCTTATTTAACCTGCTTATTTAACAATTGGCCTTTTAATACCTTCAGTTGGAGGAAGGCTGAGTAAGGGTCATCTGAAACTAATCTGGCCTGACTTTTTCTTTTATCTTGACTTTTTCTTTAGACAAGAGAACTTTACACCTTTATTATACTACCAGGACCAGACAAATGTCAAGACCAAGCTTACAGCAGTCTCTTTAGCCAGATTACTAGAGGACCAAACCAGGCCTGTAAGTGTCCATGCCCCACCTCTTGACTGCTGCCACATGGGGAGGGGGACATAGTGAAGTAAGGAGGCCAGGTCTGGCCTGCGCCATACTGGCCACATGGTAAATGGTAGGGTCTGGCATCTTGTCTTCATGCTGGGGGAAGGAAGCCCCCCTCCCCCCATCACCTGCCTTCCAGGTAATGGGTGTGCTCAGATCCCTGGAGACAGGGGCAGGCACTTGGCAGATAGGTTACTGAATCTGTCAGTCAAGTGCCTGGGACTGGGAATTTCCTGAGGATCTGCCCCCTGCACGGACCTATTTAGACCCACACCAGCCTAGCCCCCAGGATTCCATACCATGTGTGTCTCTGTGATCGTGTCCTGTGTCCTGTCTCCTGGCTCTTCCCCAGTCATCATGGCTTCCCAATTCAGCTCTCCATTTGGAGCTGAATTGGCTTGTTGGTATTGATTTTATTATTTCTTTCCTCTTTAGCATGTTTCCTAGCTGTGTTATGTGTATTTACATATTGCAGACCTTTGTAACAACTGGCGGCCTGCAGCCTTTTAACTGTATAATAAAGACTCCAATATTCTATATTTCAAAATGTGGCTTCTGGGATGATTTACCATACAACATATGGTGCCCAATGTGGGGTCCCAGTGCCGACGAGGGCATCTGGGTTCCTTGAAGCCAATGGTGGATGGTCTCGGTGGGCTGGCTATCATGGGACAGAAACTGCTACAGGGGAGGCATGCCCTCTGGGAAGTTCCAGGGCCCTGTGGTCTTTCTGTCACTCTGATGGCCCGCTCATTGACACCAGACTTGCCATCCAAACAACTTTTTGGAGTGACTTAGAAATCTTCCAAAAGTAAGTCTGTTTTTCTGTCCTGTACTCTGTCCTATATTGCGTTTATATGTTTTTCTGAAACTTGGGGGCCAGTCCATCTGGAAGTTAGCAGACATGCTTGCTAATGTGCCCTTCTTCCTCTCAATCGAGGGATCTGAGAGGTTCTGGTGGCGCTGAGTGGGAGTGGCTCACTCGGCAGACTACTGTGGCGAGTTTTGCAGCTTTTGTGATTCTCATACAGTAGAGAGTTCTACATACAGTTGTGTTGGGGTTCCCACTCCTGGTGGGAGAGGCCCCAGCTCAGCTGGCTTTTTCTGTGTTTGTCTTGGTCTTGTGTCTCTTCTTGTGTTTGGTTTTGTGTCTTTAAGGAGGGAAATCAAAGCCTGCTATCTGCTGTACTTCCTCCTGCCCCTGCTCTTCTGCTAGGAGGCAGTTGGGAGTATGTAGGCAGCTGAGGGCCAGTTTCAAACAACTAGCTAATCTTAGCAGTTTAAAAATTAAGTGCTGCTGGCTAAAATTGGCAAAAAATGTCAGGCAACCTGGTGGGCTGAGAGATTAGCTTTAGGTAACCTCTCCTTTCTTCCAATTGATGGTATTCTTCCAACTGATGGTCAATTGATGTGTAAAATGTCTAGACAACTGGGACAAAACTAGAGTCAAGTACTGGGTAGGTCAAATTTGGGCACCAGGGAACTCCCATCCATCATTTTTTCAATAGAAATATTTAATATGCTAATATGCCATAATAGAACAAGGTAGCCCTGGAAAAATTAGACCAGCAGAGTAATTTGTTAAAAATTTCATCTTAAATCTTGGTCATCGAGACTAAGATTGGCAAAAAGATCTCTTGTCACTAAAAATTCAGGGAAATGTATGGCTGATATTCATTTTGCACATTTTAAGATCATTGTGCACAAAAATCTATGTATGAACTTAAGATAAAAATTGTCATCATGATGTTAAAAAATGTATGTTAAGTTTAAACTGCAGGAAAGTTCAGCAAGTTTGGACATTACAAAACTTGAGATTTATTTCCCACCACTGCTAAAATTTGGGAATGAGTGTTAGAAATTTGGATGTAAAGTTTTGTTTACCACTGTTAAAGACATTGTTTCTTCTGTGTGTCTAAACTGCTCAGAGATAAAAAGGACAGGAAAAATTTAGGATAAGCCTATGTGCTTATCTTCAGGGGTGAGGGGTCCTTTGGTAAAGGTGCAGCTCAGCCTCTCCATGCATGGTGGGACAGGCCCTGGGGGAGTTCACGCATGGTTTCAGAAGGTAAGCTGGCACAAAGGCAGTTCATCTAACCCAAAAGTCAGATTGGGTGTATGCCTATTCTGTAGGACTGACCAACTGGCCCATCTTTATCCTGTCTCTTTTCCATGCAGATGGACACTGGAAATCTGATGGTAAAAATTGATGTTGTAATTGATATTTCTAAAACTACCCCCCTAGGATGTATTTAAATTGAAAAAAAGTTTTAAAGAAGAGTTTAAAAGTTTATGTGATGTAATTTGATTTCTATGCTATTTTTGCAATTTGATGTATTTTTTTTAAAGACAAAAAGATGCTATGTCTAGATTCTTGGTATAGTGTTAGTGTTTGTAATTCTTTCATTAAGAAAAATTGCTAAGTTCCAAATGGTCACCCTGACTGCAAAAACAAAACAAAACAAAAAGGTGGCCAGTGTAAAAATCTTTGGCTGAGAGGTAATGGGTGTGCCAGTGTTCCAACAGGGCTTTTAAGTGCAAATTAAAAGTGACTTTAGGAAAAGTGATTAAAAATGGTGTCCTCATTGTAAAAGTTTGGAAAGTAGTTAAGGGAGTGTCTGGCCTCCCTGACAAAGTTTAAAATTAAAATTGTCCTAAAAGTTTCTTTAAAAATCTGAAAATATAGGAGGCTGGGAAGGTGGCTTAGTGGTAGAGCGCTTGCCTTGCATGCATGAGGCCCTGGGTTTGGTTCCTCAGCACCACATAAGCAAAAAATAAAAAAAACTGGAAGTGACACTGTGGCTCAAGTGGTAGAATGCTAGCCTTGAGCTGAAGAGCTGAGGGACAGCGCCCAGGCCCAGAGATCAGGCCCCACGAGCGGACCCCCTCACCCCCACCCAAAAAAAAAAGTCTGAAAAGATAAACTAGGATTACCAAAATGATTGTTTAATTGCTATTCCAGTTTTCCCTTATAGGTTTTTTGTAAGCTTCCAGCAAGCCCACAAATTTGTCAGATGTTGGCTCTTAATAAGTTCCAGGTAAGGGGCTGGGAAGTTGGCTCAATGGTAGAATGTTTGCCTCACATGCATGAGGTCCTGAGTTCAATTCCTCAGCACCACATAAGCAGAAAAAGCCAGAAGTGGTGCTGTGGTTCAAGTGGTAGAGCACTAGCCTTGAGCTGAAGAGCTGAGTGACGGCATTCAGGCCCAGAGATCAAGATTCATGACTGACAAAAGGGTTCCAGGTTAGACCATGCTTATAGAATACTTCCAGTGACCATCTTTGTTGTTTTTAATTGGAGTAAAGTGGCCATATATATAAGACTCATTGATCTGAAAACTGGTTCAAAGCCAGCCAGGGCAGAGAACGATCCCTGAGAGATTGTCATCACTAATCTACCAGCAAAGTGTTGGAAAAGCAGAATTGCTTTGGAGCTCAAAGTAGCAGA